GAGGGAGAGGATAAATGAGATAAGAAAGGATAAGAACGGATATGGAAGAAAAATTTTCGATATTATTCGTAATTGGAATACGTATTTACAAGAGCGCTCAACCGATAACCGCGATCCTCCATTGTTTTATTAATGCGTGAACTCTATCAAGCGGCAAAATAAACCCACTAATACCAACCTGGATATCCCAGACACGGGAGACACATTACATATACACCTGCACGAATCCAATTCATATACGGAATCAATCGATCGAATATACCAAAAAAGCATTTTGCAATTTTAAATGAAACGAAGTACTGCTTCTATACCGATGAGACTCTTATCGATCCACGGTTTATGAAACCTCTGACAATATATTCAGTGGTGCGCAAAAGTTTCCGGTCAAATTGATTTCCCACTTTATATTCGAAAAGTAATATTTAAAAGATTCTTAACTAATATCGAATGAAATATGTATAACTACAATATACTATTGATTTCTGATTATAACATTGTTAAAAGTTTCTCGAAATAAAGTCTTGACGCTTTGAAAGAAAAAAAAAAAGAAGAAACGTCGAAGCCAAGAGGTTATCGACTTTACTCGATCGTATCTATTCACAGCTAACAATTGTTTTTCAAGTTTTCCTCGACACGGAAATATACACGTCGACCGAAAATTTCCCGAATAATATCACAGCTTCGAGCAACAAAATAATCGAATCTGACGATTCGGATCGTTCTTTGATTAATTGACAAGTAACCACTGTGTCGCAAAAATTTTACCAAAATTATATCTGGCAAACAAAAATATTTCATACGTATCGAATATCACAATGAATATAACAGGCAAATAATATAACATCGTTAATCTCGGCGATAGCGAAGCGCGAGTCAGCAAGTTTATATTGCTAATGATGCAATGCATACCAGGATACCAGGATCCCACTATTGAAAATTACCTCTGCCAATGATGTATCGCTTATCTATATCGAGCTCTAAGCTAAACTTTAGAGAGCATTATCGGATGGGATGATTCGTCCTATTCTGGAATTCACGATTTATCGATTCCACCGATATCCGCAGCCAAATCTCTGTTCACGGAATGGATTCGGGAGAACTTTTCCCAAGGATTCCAATTCTCCTATCCCCGAAACGACAGCTCGTTACCGTTATGATCATCTGGTCGTACGCAGCGCCGCGCAGCGGCGGTGTAAAAGTGGCGACAGTGGCGCCCATTCGTCCCGTGTTTCCTCCTAATTAATGCGATGGAACATCTACGGTACAAGGAATTCCATGTTCCCCGCGGCGTGGCAATATCGTGTGGCCGTCTGGACCGCCTGTACTCCGTCTTAACGCGGAATGCCGGCAGAGGGAGACGAGAGGAGAGAGGACGAGTGGAGGGGTATTGCGTACTGCGTTAATGAGAATTCGGGTCGATCGTTGGTCGATTCGCAATGGTCGCCCCCTCTCCATCACCCTTTTTTTTCCTCACCGCGTCAAATTGCCTCTCGATCCCCGAATTATCCGTCCCATGAATTTTTATAAGTTTTGACGCGTTTCGTCGCCTCTATAGACCACTTCGTGTATGCATCGATATATTTGGAGGGGAGAGGGTACAAATTTCGAAGGATTCGGCCGAGGATAAGAAAGGCGATAAGAAATTCTCGTTTCTCCTCTCTCTCTCTCGGGCCAAATAAGAATACCTTATTTGCCAGGATATGTCGTGAGAAATAATTCTATCTTATTGTCGAGGGAAGAAATGAAATTATCGACCGATCGATCGATGCCAATACGTATGCGGGATGCTTTCAATCTTGCCGAACAAATTGCGAAAATAAGAAGAGAAATTTGTGTCGTTACATATAAAATCTGTTGACGTTTCATTAAGAAGTCACGGGCGAATATTGAACATCGATTGAAATCATCCGATGTTGGCGAGAATTGCTGCGTTAATGAATGCGAAACATCGATTGTATTTACTACTACATCGTTTGTATTTGTAACGCGTTCCTTGTTTTAAGACAATTTATCGTGACTGTCAGTCACGATAGAAATTGGCTTTTGATTATATATCGCGTATATATCAATATTATACGTGGAATTTCATATCGTTTTAAACGCCGAGAAATATTTTTAAAATAAGCAGAATATTATCGTATGACTTTTCATACTATTATTTCGTAATTGGGTAATGTAAAATCTGTTGTCAGACCGGTATTTCAGTCTACGATCAATATTTGCTTATAACTTTGTAATAAAGCGTTTTAAAGCGAAATTTTACGTAACATTCTTTTTTTTTTCTTCTTTCTTTTTTTTTTTTTTTTTTTCCTTTTTTTTGGTTCCTTGTGCATTATATACCTCCTGCAGCGCGCCTGAAAAAAATTGAAAATACTTCGTACAACGTGTATTAATCACTTTACTTTAGAAAAATGAAAAAGAAGAATGGAAATATAAAATTGATAAATTCCATTGTCTTGGCGCGTAATTTCATAATAATTTTATAATTAAACACATTGTAAATCATTAGTTTGTATTTATCGAATTATAATTACTACGCGTAATAACGCGATAGGAAAATTGTCAATCGATTATGTATTATGCCCGATCACTTTTCTATCGACGCGATAAGTATCAATTTCAATGGTAACCGCAAATGAACAATCGTAATTGGCAATATTATTACTAATATATATATATTAATGTCAAACATTCAAAAGCACTCCTAATTTGACGTTCTAAAATTAATATTTTAGCATTGTTATCGCGTTGGTTCGCGCGACAATATTATAAATATCGGAAAATGATTAAACGAAGAATAAAGTAAATCGCGAATAAATAAGAATTTATCCTTTCCATGGCACGCGCTTTAATAAACTCGGGCTCGGTTTTATCGTATTATAAAAAACTGCATTAAAAATTCGCATTAATCTGTTTGCACTGAAGTTTCGCGTTAGAGTTGGCGGCGTCTAAAGTTCGTACAGTATTATCGATTGTTTTGTATGCTTTCCTCGTGTTCGTAGTAAACTGAACGGTTTAGTTATTTTGTACGTTACAAAAGCAATAGTCGCCACGATTGTTTAACTATTTGATTGCAACTCACGTCCCTCGCCCCTCCCTAAATTAGGTCAAAAATGCTAGAGGGAAAAGTAGATTGAAACACCCATCCCGATCAGAATAGAAAATTTTTTTTGTTTTTCGACGAAAATTCGAAAAAAAGTAAAAACAAAATTCGCCCGTTGTTTTCGATATATATGCGATCGCGTTAATTCGTTTGAGTTCTATTCGAGCTC